AAGATACTGACAAGGAACGTGGTAAATGCGTCATGGCTAGCATCCATGGCGATTTCGCGGCCGAAATAGCTCTCGAATTTCTGCTGTTTCATCGCGTTCGGCGCATTGTCCGCCAATAGCTTAGTTAAACCCTAGAAATTTCACATAACACTCGATTTTTTTTCCATTTTGCCGGAATAAAGGAAAAAACAAAATTGAATTACAGAGGAAGTCGGTACCTTAATTCCCATTTGATTTGCAGAAATTTGATAACAAGGGGGCGAGATTTTTATCTTGCTTTTTTGGGTATTTGGATAATTCAAAGAATACGTTTTACAGTTGGAAAGAAGTAGCACAGAAATAAGGGTTTTAATTCTTTCCCGCCCTCATTTGTATACGAGAATATATTGTTTGTTATATTTTTTCCTTCTGAATTATAACCTACGTACTTAGGTAATGTTAAATTACGAAAAAAAAAATATATATTTGGGTAATTATAGCTATTCACCAATTATAAATTTATTAAACTTTCATTCATATGGTGTCAAATTCAACATAATCTTTTAGATTCCGTTGAACTGTTCTCTAGTTTGTATTCATTTTGTGCAAAAGTGCAGTTTTTGATGCACTACAATCTGATATTTACAAACCAAGAGACATATCTTATAACTTTCAAAATATGGAGCTTGAATGAGATAAAACGGGTACAAACTTGTTCGGTTCCGATTCATGATGGACTTTTAGACGGGGCCTTGGATCTTTAAACGCATCTGCAAAAGAGAGAAAAATTCAGACTTAGGCCGAAGTTAGCACTCCGACAGCTACGTCAGTAATTTTCTTTGAATAATTTTGTTCAAATATTATAAATTTTTTTTGGTCTCAAACTTTTCTTATGAAGAACATAAAAATTTAGGGTTTTGTGCGAGAGCTTACGTCCAAGGCTGGCACTCGCAGTATCTACAGACAAATGAACGGACGCCAACCTTATCTTAATTCTGGTTTAACTAGTCTAGTCACCGTGATAAAATATTACGGATTTCAAATTACCCTTCAGTCGGATTTACTCAGTCACTTTGGTGAACAGTAAAAAGAGCCGCACATGTAAAAAAGTAGCAAACATTCCATGCATATTGTCAACCAATTGGACGTGCATTAAATACTGCCGTTTGACTTAAACGAGTGGTGCAGCGAGAAGGAGGTTGGTCGCTCGCTGCGGAGGTTGGCCAGTTTTCTTCTTGCCAATGGTTGGTATACTCGCATGTTCACCTAGCCTTACTTCTTTACGGGCCTTGTAGGGCTATATTGTCCTAGTTGGGCCGTTTGTTGAATTTGGCCCAATCATAACAGAAGAATGTTCCACGTAATCTAGAATATTTCATTAAATTTGACACCAGAACGATGGATGAGTAAAGAAGATTCATAATTGACTGATGGTTGTAATTATTCAAACATGTGTGGGTTTTGGGTTTTTTTCGTAATTTAACCTTATCTCAGAGGGTGACCGTAATTTACCATATATATATATATTATATAGTTTAGGAAAAATAAGGTAAAAAGTATAAATTCAGTGGAGATAATGTTTGCACATGAAAATTTACTATTGCAGATTATTTTCAAAGATTTATTAAAAGGAATGTAAAAGGGATCTAAAATATTTCAAAATATTCTTGAAAATAGCGACTTATCTCGATCATACTCCTATTACAAATATAAATCGGAGATAAATTTTACATTTATATCATCGTACACATTAATTCGATTTCAAAAATGAAAATGGAATTCGGTTGCACATAAAAAAACTTCATAAACAACACCGGAAAAAAAGTTTAAAATTTGCAATAAAACATCGAAAACGCCAGGCTTGGCCCAATAGCGAGGCCGACAACGTCTTCGGCCCCTAAATTGCAAAATGTTTAGGTATTTCTTTGTTCAAATTCTAACACCCTTTTTTTCTTTTTTTAAATATCTTTTTAAACGTTGTTTATTATGGGGACATAAAAAAAAAAATCAGATATAATATATTTTATATGTTAGTCCAATAATTATTAATTGCATCAAAATTAGTGTATGATTTGTACTATATATTATTTTAATAAATGATCTCCAAAATGTCCAAATATATTACTATTGTTTGTTGGTCCATAAATTATAAAGTCAATTTAAATTAAAATATTATCAAATTAACACTACTATAATTTTAACTTAGTTTGTTAAATACTATTTCTACAATAATTTATGTGTAATTTTGAAAATAATATGATATTAATGGCCAATATTTGCTAAATTATTAATAATGGTTTAACTGGATTAAGTATTAGTGAGTTGTTAGATTAATTTTACAGGTATAAATTGGAACGAAGTTTTCGAATTTTACCAATTTCTTTCAAAATTTTCCAACTATCATTTAAATCTCTAAAAATCCCAATGTCTGATTTTTTTGATTTATTTTTTATCAGAATACATATGAGATTCCGATTTCTGACAAATCATAATTTCCAAAATAATTCTAAAATTTTCAGTTTTATTTTGCAAAATTACACTTATAATATCAATATTATTATATATTTTATTAGTATCAGTAATATTATATCTATCATTCTATTTTTTTATTTCTTTCGAATTTTGTTCAAAACATAATGTTCAGCTAATAAAAATATTATAAACCAAAAAAAGAAAATCAATATAAAGTTACGGTAACAGCCTGATTTTGTAAACGAAACTTGGACCCAAAATCGATTAGAACAATTAAATCCATGTGTCATGAGGTAACTCGTATCCGTTTTTAATGTATTCTCTAATTATTAAATAATTTTTTTTTGAAATATCTAATTATTAAATATAATACAGAACTACTTTTATTTTATCATTATAGTTCAATATAATATACATATTTTCATCATCTCGATATAATGCCTAAAAAATACGATATGTGACAAACGTGATTAACAAGTGTATTAATTCCTTTAAGCACTTCATAATCTAATTCTTATAAAATAATTGAAATCTAATTCTTTTTATATCAATTTAAGTGGTGATCTTTTATGATCATATAAGTGCATTTTTTGTATATATCAATTTTCATGTGAAAAAAAGAAATAATAACTAGAAGGTAGATGACACATCTGTCCGCCAACACGTGATCACCACGTGTTCCAATGTTTATAAATATATATATATTCTTCAACCCATTTGTTATAATTAAGGTTAATGAATATTGATAAAAAAGAAAAGAAAAAAAGGGTTAATGAACTCTAAGAATTCAGATATATTTACTTTGTCTTATATCGCTATTACGACAGTCGACAAAAATTGACTTAAGTATCGGAGAATTTTAACTAGGTGTGAATAAACCTAACATAGTAACATTGTAATATGCATTTCCTTCAAGTACTAGAACGCCTAATGTTCCGATTAGTTTTCCCAAACTTGTATTTATACGATTTTTAGCTAACTTCGCATGTTCGATTTCTGCTAAGACTAATTATCGAGGGGGAGATTGTTAACCTGCTATAATATAATTGTCTCTCGGCAAAAACCTCGAGTTGGGCCGAGTCACAATTTGCATTGTGTTGAAGTCATAAACTAACGTCATCAGCGCTTATATATGTCGCATGCACAATGGTTAAGATATGCACATTTTCTACCACCATGTTAATTTTAAATTGTTTAATAACTTATGAAATCTTAAACATCAAATCATGTACATATATTTATAATATGTGATTGTTTATAAATTAAAAGTACTCAAAACTAACCGATGTATTTCATCATATGTAACTTTTATGGTATATAACTTAACTATGAATATAAAATTAAATCATATAAAATGATAAAATAGATAGCCAATTTGCACCTAACCAATTCTTATTTTTTGTCTCGGTTAATCCAATTTTCATCATATTAATTATTTTTTTAATACTAATTATTTTAAAATGTAAACATTATTTTGACCAATTTACCAATTTGACCACTTCTGACAATTTTACGTATTTTATTATCCAAATAACCCACTTTAACCAATTTGGCCAATTTATTTTAATCCATATGAGTTGACTCATTTTTTATTGATTTAACTCATTTGGCTTTATAGACTAATGAAATTTATATTCCCTTAGAATAAAAAAATTATTAGATTTGACCAATTTAACTCCACCTATAAATTAGAAGTTAAATATAATGATTTTTTTTTTGTAATATTTTAAAAATAAATTTAGTCCCTCGTTTTTCAAAAAACACAACATTTTCTGTAATTTTTGTTATTTCCATTAATACTTAACAGAATCCATCATGTTCTTCCCACTCTCTTAACTGACGGACTAATGGTAAATTAACTAAAATGACCAAAAGTGTCAAGTTATGAAACATGAGGGACCAAATGTATTTTTTGTAAGTACGAGGAGTCAAATATGAAATCAGTATAAACTCGAGGGGCAAAAACTGTAATTTAATCATAATCCTATGTAAGCTTATCTTGGTCCACCCTATATATACAAGCTTCATAATTGTACGATTGACCAAGTGCATCAATTCTGGTCCACCCTAAACAACTGAAGAAGGACTGCTAGTGAAAATACCACCCTTTATCCCCATCCTAACATCATATGATTTGTCACACTATTATTGGCAATAAAAATTTAAATCAAATAACCACTTGAGTTATTGATATCAAATAAAAATTTAAATCGAATAAATAAATAAAAAGCTCGTGAGCTCGTGAGCCAGCTCGCGAGCTGTCGAACAACTATAATCGGGTTCAAACTCGAGCTCAAACTCGATTTCGTGTTTGTGTCGGGTCGGC